TATATCTGTATATCTGTATATCTGTATATCTGTATATCTGTATATCTGTATGTCTATGTATCTGTATATCTGTGTATCTGTGTATCTGTATATATGTATATATGTATTTATATATATTTGTATATCTGCATATCTGTATATCTGTATATCTGTATATCTGTATATCTGTATATCTGTATATCTGTATATCTGTATATCTGTATATCTGTATATCTGTATATCTGTATATCTGTATATCTGTATATCTGTATATCTGTATATCTGTATATCTGTATATCTGTATATCTGTATATCTGTATATCTGTATATCTGTATATCTGTATATCTGTATGTCTATGTATCTGTATATCTGTGTATCTGTATAGATGTATATAAAGTTTTTTATATATATTTGTATATCTGCATATCTGTATATCTGCATATCTGTATATATGTTTTTATATATATTTGTATATCTGCATATCTGTATATCTGTACATCTGTATATCTGTATATCTGTATATCTATATATCTGTATATCTGTATATCTGTATATCTGTATATCTGTATATCTGTATATCTGTATGTCTATGTATATGTATATCTGTGTATCTGTGTATATCTGTATATCTGTATATCTTATGTATATCTGTATATCTGTATATCTGTATGTCTATGTATCTGTATATCTGTGTATCTGTGCATCTGTATATTTGTATATATGTATTTATATATATTTGTATATCTGCATATCTGTATATCTGTATATATGTTTTTATATATATTTGTATATCTGCATATCTGTATATCTGTATAATCTGTATATCTGTATAGCTGTATATCTGTATATCTGTATATCTATGTATCTGTATATCTGTGTATCTGTGTATATCTGTATATCTGATATCTGTATATCTGTATATCTGTATATCGGTATATCTGTATATCTGTATATCTGTATTAATCTGTATATCTGTATATCTGTATATCTGTATGTCTATGTATCTGTATATCGGTGTATCTTATATCTGTATATCTGTATATCTGTATATCTGTATATCTGTATATCTGTATATCTGTATATCTGTTATATCTGTATATCTGTATATCTGTAATATGTATATCTGTATATCGGTAGATCTGTATATCTGTATATCTGTATATTATATCTGTATATCTTATATCTGTAAGCTTATAGCTGTATATCTGTATAGCTGTATATCTGTAATAGCTGTATATCTGTATATCTGTATATCTGTATATCTGTATATCTGTATATCTGTATATCTGTATATCTGTATGTCTATGTATCTGTATATCTGTGTATCTGTGTATATCTGTATATCTGTATATCTGTATATCTGTATATCTGTATATCTGTATATCTGTATATCTGTATATCTGTATATCTGTATATCTTTATATCTGTATATCTGTATGTCTATGTATCTGTATATCTGTGTATCTGTGTATATCTGTATATCTGTATATCTGTATATCTGTATATCTGTATATCTGTATATCTGTATATCTGTATATCTGTATATCTGTATATCTGTATATCTGTATATCTTTATATCTGTATATCTGTATATCTGTATATCTGTATGTCTAGTATCTGTATATCTGTATATCTGTATATCTGTATATCTGTATATCTGTATATCTGTATATCTGTATATCTGTATATCTGTATATCGGTATCTGTATATCTGTATATCTGTATATCTGTATATCTGTATCTGTATATCTGTATATCTGTATATCTGTATATCTGTATATCTGTATATCTGTATATCTGTATATTGTAATCGATATCTGTATATCTGTATATCTGTATATCTGTATATCTGTATATCTGTATATCTGTATATCTGTTATGTATATCTGTATATCTGTATATCTGTATATCTGTATATCTGTATATCTGTATATCTGTATATCTGTATATCTGTATATCTGTATATCTGTATATCGTATATCTGTATATCTGTATATCTGTATATCTGTATATCTGTATATCTGTATATCTGTATATCTGTATATCTGTATATCTGTATATCTGTATATCTGTATATCTGTAATATGTATATCTGTATATCATCTGTATATCTGTATATCTGTATATCTGTATATCTGTATATCTGTATATCTGTATATCTGTATATCTGTATATCTGTATATCTGTATATCTGTATATCTGTATATCTGTATATCTGTATATCTGTATATCTGTATATCTGTATATCTGTATATCTGTATATCTGTATATCTGTATATCTGTATATCTGTATATCTGTATATCTGTTTATCATTATATCTGTATATCTGTATATCTGTATATCTGTTTATCTGTATATCTGTATATCTGTATATCTGTATATCTGTATATCTGTATATCTGTATATCTGTATATCTGTATATCTGTATATCTGTATATCTGTATATCTGTATATCTGTATATCTGTATATCTGTATATCTGTGTATCTGTATATCTGTATATCTGTATATCTGTATATCTGTATATCTGTATATCTGTATATCTGTATATCTGTATATCTTATATCTGTATATCTGTATATCTGTATATCTGTATATCTGTATATCTGTATATCTGTATATCTGTATATCTGTATATCTGTATATCTGTATATCTATATATCTGTATATCTGTATATCTGTATATCTGTATATCTGTATATCTGTATATCTGTATATCTGTATATCTGTATATCTGTTTATCTGTTTATCTGTTTATCTGTATATCTGTATATCTGTATATATGTATATCTGTATATTTGTATATCTGTATATCTGTATATCTGTATATCTGTATATCTGTATATCTGTATATCTGTATATCTGTATATCTGTATATCTGTATATCTGTATATCTGTATATCTGTATATCTGTATATCTGTATATCTGTATATCTGTATATTCTGTATATCTGTATATCTGTATATCTGTATATCTGTATATCTGTTTATCTGTTTATCTGTATATCTGTATATCGGTATATCTGTATATCTGTATATCCGTTTATCTGTTTATCTGTATATCTGTATATCTGTATATCTGTTTATCTGTTTATCTGTATATCTATATATCTGTATATCTGTATATCTGTATATCTGTATATCTATATATCTGTATATCTGTATATCTGTATATCTGTATATCTGTATATGTAACTATATATATGTATATCCCGTGTATGTTTTTATACATGTAGGCAAGTATACATAGAATTGCACACCCACACGTAGACTTGCACACATTCAACTGAGGCTAGGCGTGGGTGGCGTTCATGATAGACGTCGACGTCTTTGACTGGCATTTAAATTTAAATTCATACATATGTATCAATTCACTTATATATTTGTACTTTCTTCAAATCGTTTACCTTACATTTGCCTGCACAGATTTAAGCGACCTATATATACATATATAACATATATATGCAAACATTGTTTTTATTTTTTAATGAAAATCGACGTCTTTGACTTAGACCCTAAATTAAAATTCATAAAATATATCCACTAACATTATCAAAGTTTTTTACAATCGCATCTTGGCATATATAGATATGTTTATATATATCAATTACATTAATTTAATAAAAATGTATATGTATACAAAAATTAAAATACTTACGTTTGTTAACAGTCTGCAAAGGATTACACGTAATTCATTTCTTACTTCTGTTCACCGCGGTCGCCCACACAAAATAAGTTGCAGCTTCTTTAAGTTTTTTTAGTTTAGATAGACTAACGAATTAAATATTAACTTTGAAATGAATGCACAAGTAAAGGTTGGGATTGTATGGAACACACAGCATCTACAGAGTGGCTCAGAAAATAGATGTCCACACACTAACGTCCTTCCGATTAACGTGTTTGTATTCGATGCCGAAGTGTGCTTCGGCTGCCTGCTTCGGGAATCTTGGGATAGGCATACGTGGGCGTTGGTGCGCGCTTTTCAGTCATATATACATACATACACGTATATGTTTATGTCAAAATGTGCGCGCACACATTTGCGCCATGAATGAAATCGTGGCCAAAAACTGTTGCTGGTTTTAAGCACTAACGATTTTACAGAAACAACTAGGGTTGAATTAATACTCTCTTTGGCGTTCAGCGATTTCACCTTCTCTCTCTCTCTCTCTCTCTCTCTCTCTCTCTCTCTATCTCCCTATCTTTCCCTCTCTCGCAATAAGTTGGAATTGGATACACAGATTTGGTCACATTTGCCTGACAACTCATTCATACTGAATTATTAAAATTAGGCATTTATATAAATGAAATTTTATAATTTTTGAGTAGCCAGTCGATTCAAATATTTGTGTACGTTTTCTCTTATATATTTATCCTTTATTGTTCTTAAATCATTTATTATCATCCTAAAATAAGATTCAAATAAATCTAGCAATTAATGTTAGGTATACATTCGATTAATCTGGAAAAATTCTTTGCGATATAGTTGGAAGGAGCTAGGGCCATAAATGCATAGAATTATGACCTTAAGAAGCAATGTTAAAGTTCGAAATGTGGAAATTACCGGATCATACACGTGTCAACATTCTGTTTAAAATGTAAATAAAATTAATGCAGATATATTGGATACAGAGATACATTATACAAGACTATGTAATGTATGACGAATTTGTAAAGCGTTCATTTCAATACCACAAAGTAATTTATTTTCATAAAACAAAACATTTCAAGAACGCTCATTTTTATCGACAGTGTGACCAGTGTTAGTTAGTCAAAAAAAAGCGAATCTCTACTTTATTATGCCTAATTGCTTACTACTTGAATTTTTTTGCTATCTATGATGCTTATGCTAATAATATAACATAAGGACATAACATATAACATTAGTGCTTAAATAGTGATGTGCTGAATTTGAATGGATTTATTCGATTATGGATATCGGCACTGTATTTTGTGCAATCGGTATCGAGAAACGGGAAATTCAATTTGATGTCGAAAAATACACTAGTCAAACGACTCTAATATAATTTGGGATTATTTAGGGTATTAGAAAACGACTGATTCTTTTCTTGGCAAATGCATAAAAAATGTCGGATAAACAATTATTAAATGTCTGACCAAACAGCAAATAAAATTCAAGCTAGCATTTTAAATGTTGCTTATTAAAAAGCCATTAATATAACATTGGAGCGAACAGAAAGAAAAGTTAAGGTACAAATATTGATTATTGCATGTCCTGAGTGGGTGAAAAATTAACAAGAATTCGAATACTCTTTTAAAAACAAAATAAAGAATATTTATTGAAATGAAAGGTGAAAGGTTTGGGTCTCGCTATGTGAGAAATTCTGAATTTTAGAGAAAAATGTGAATAAATAAATATCAACATATATTTATATGTATATATCTATATATGTATGTATGTGCTCACAATCATGAATATGTATCTCAAAAAATGTGTATCTTATAAATTCAAGCACATATATAGCTACATACAATTGAAGATGCATCTGATTTAGAGGAGACTTTCGGATTAACGTTTTATGTTATTTTGTTAAAAAAATTACTGCAAGAATATTAAAATGAATGCGTTATTAATTACTCAGTTGTTTCAAATATAATTGATATTGTGCTTTATGAAAATCACGTATTATACCGTTACAGAAAATACAGTGGGTGGCAAAAACAACATTTTGGGTGATTTGTTAAATCAAAATATATCCAGAATTATGGTGTCGCCACAAAGCCTACGTTTTGGCTATTTGGGTCTAATAGTAGTTGGCGTACTCTGTGCTTCGGTCCATGCTGGCACTTCCACTGAAAATGAGGACGAGTATCTAATACAACGAGGTTTGTTTGCAAAATGTCAAATTAAAAACATATTTTTAAAGGTTCTTTTTTTTTGGACTTATACCGTTGTTAAAATGATATGTGAATTAAATAATGTTTTGCTGTGTTTTCAGAGTATATTTTAGAAAAGTCGTACCATGGATTGATTCGGGAAAATGAGACTCTAGTGGAAATTACGCCGTTGATTAATGTTGACGAAGAGAAAATTTGCAGCTTTCGCATTGTAAAGAAGCCATATCATGAAATTCCATTCCAGGTGAGAAAATAACACAAGGGATAAACTGTGAAACACTCGGTGGCTTAACAAAATATTAACTAAAAACAATCAATTTCCAGATTGAGTTGGTCAACAATCTTGGGATACTTAAAGCACGCCACACACTCAATTGTGAAAAGCGTAAAAGTTATCATTTTGAGATTGTTGCCATATACTGCGACGGAACGCCATCGAACTCGGCCAACGTTCATATCACAGTGATCGATATCAATGAGTATGCTCCGACCTTTTTACAGCCATCATATGTCACCGAAGTCGACGAGGGTAAACTTTATAATGAGATTATTCGTGTCGAAGCCGCAGACAAAGATTGCACTCCACTCTTTGGAGATGTTTGCAAATATGAAATATTAAATAGTGATGAGCCGTTCACAATTGACAATGAGGGCTCGATCAAAAACACAGAACCACTCTCACATAAGATTTCTCACAATCACATTTTATCCGTCGTGGCATACGATTGTGCTATGAAGGAGTCCGTCCCCATTATGGTCAGCATTAAGGTGCGACGTGTGTGCGATGCCAAGTTCTTGGGCATACCAGAGCGCATTGATTACACTGTAAGTATTAACTATATATATATATATATACTATACCGCCATGAGCAATTTAGAGGAAATCAAAGAATTCCTCTATATATTACCCCTGGCAGAGCGCATCCGTCAGTAGGTACATATTTGACTCAACTCTCTGCTACCCACAGCCTCGCGTTAATTCGCGTTAATAAGGCACAAAATTTTATCTTGCTTTGTTAATCCTGGCTGATAGATGCCGTACAACGTGGTTACGCATCGCCATTGTAGCTCGTTTGCTGCTCTCTGAGAGAGAAGGAGCCTTATTACGCTACATGACAGTAATAGTGAGACTAAGGACTAAAAGTTTGGCAAATATTTTACGTACATGACTCACACAAGCATGCCTCAACAATGGTGAATGTAGAAGCCCACTTTTACAACTTTTAAAATATGACGTTTCCGAAATTTTTTTTTCTCAGTAGCAAAATCAGTATTTATACGATAAAAATATAAAATTAGGAATGTCTTTGGCATTAGCTTAATAAATAATATAAATGTTTAGTCCGGTAGCACCGAGAGTTTGCAACTGTTTCCAAATGCTCGACTGGATTTGTGCAATATATTGTGTAAACCTGATGATCTCAACATTCACGCAGTGGTTACCCTTAAGGTAAGTATACATATTTCATACAAACAAATCTATATTGACTCAATCAATTTGTTGATATACTTCTTAAATACACAAAGACCAAGCACATATCATTTGGCTGCGATCGGGATATATCAAACTGTTCGGCGAATAAAAACTTAAGGGATCTTTTGCCCCGTGACGCCGAATGGACGAAAGACTTGAGCTATGACGAGGGCCCCGAGTCGATCTTCCATTTTGATGGGTCAGCTGGCGTAGTTGTACCCGATGGGCTTATTGAACACCGAGACTTTTCGCTGAAGCAATTTAGTATTGTGACCATCTTTCGCCATGGCACTCAGAGCTCGATGAACAAACATGTAAAAGAGCATATAGTCTGTAACGCTGACGATCATAAAATGAATCGCCATCATATGGCATTATTCGTACGCAACTGTCGACTTATTCTACTGTTGCGGAAGAATTTCAATGACGGTGATCTAAACATATTTAGTCCGGCGGAATGGAGGTGGAAAATATCGCAGGTCTGCGACAATGAATGGCATTACTATGTAATCAACGTGTACCAATCGTCCAAGGTAGAGCTGTTTATTGATGGCGTACAGTTTGAAAGCTCTGTTGAGGACCGTCACGCCAATCCAGAAGTCATTGATGATTGGCCCCTGCATGCGGCACATGGAGTTAACACCACACTGGCGGTAGGAGCCTGTTATCAGAGTTCAGAAAATCGTCTAAAGCACGGATTCAATGGTGACATATCGGAAGTAAAGCTATCTCTTAACGGTATACTCTCTGTTGAGGATATTAAATGTGGAACGAGCTGTGCTGAACATTTGCTTCCATCGACGGAATTGCAACTTGAGCAGCAAGCAGAGCAAGAGTCGACAGATTTTCAAGTGCAGGTCAATGCAAAAATGAACGAAATATATATTGAGACGCAAAGCAAGCACAATATAGAGCAATTAATGCGTAAAATTCAATACATTAATATTAAAAAAAGTCCCACAATAGGACGTAGAAACATTGAGGTTCGTACGACAATGCTCTGCACAAATCAGAGTGCCATACGCTTACCCACAATCGAGACATATGTCATGGTAAATGATCCCATTCAGCCAGCCACAATGCCAGGTGATAAAATGGTCGAGGATACCGCTACTCTGTACACGATTGAAAATCTCAGACCTCAAGCTCAGGGCGAACAGCGTACATCGAAGTCTTCGCATACCGCAACAAAGATTGCAATTTCCGGTAAATAAAAAAGTAACCAGAACTCCTTCACGGTACTAAAGCACTTCACATGAAAAACTTCCAGATTTTAGCTCTAAATTTAGAGAAGATAGGATTTTTATGCATATGCCGCGTCCCCAGTATGTTGAGATATATCATTTTTAGTAAATATTTATAGAGGGTCTACAATAACTTAACTATCAAATTTTTGGCACTCTAGCCTCAAGGCAGTGAAATATGTCACATTGTCGATGTACCACGGCTCCAAATAATATTTATATATATTTTTTATTAATATAATATAATAATATATATTTTTTATCAATATATAATATAATAATATAATTTGGCCGATTTTGGTGGTACACTGTAACCCACGTATTAAATCTGGAGCGTAGATATATACACACACTATCTCAATTTTAACATTTATAAACTATAACTGAGGGTACCAACTATTGTATATTCAAAATTTCAATGAAACTTATCATTCCATTTTAATTCTTAGGAACCCAAAATAAATTGGTTTCTTACCAAGAAATCAAATTTGGCGTGCATATCTTGGACAAAGTTCACATTGGCCTCTCTATCGATGACGATAAAAGCAATGGGATCCATAAAGAGAATCTCGATTCGTGCAGTGTAATTGTATTTCCATCTTTAAACCCGGATCATGAGGAAATTCAAATAGATGGCGATGAGTCGTTGTCATCCACAATGGACATCAAAACAAATATTAACAAGGATGGCGTTGAAATGATCGGATCCGATTCAGTTCGCAGCTATCTCAGCGTATTGCGTGCTTTAGTCTATAGCAATAAGAAACCGGCGTATTATCTAAACCGTGTATTCAAGCTATCCTGTTCGCAGCTTTACGCACAATATAAGAGTGTTGAATATACACTCACATTGACCGTCCTGCATCCGAAGCAGTCGTCGAAGACAACAAATCCACCATCATCATCCATAGCCGTGACTAATGCCGAAGGTAACGACAATTTTCTATCGAATTATCACAACGGGCGTGGGCTAAGCGAAAGTGGGGATAAAGGAGCACCAGGTAGATAGTTTTATTTGCTTTGACGATATGATGTTGAAATAATCTTAAAATTGTTTCTTTCAGATACGAAATTTTTTTCAAACTCTTTACTTCATATCAATGATGTACAGGAGCCTAAATCTCATGTACACTCCATCGTGCACAAAGGTTTGTTAATTAATTTTTTTAGGTGTATTTAAGATATAATAATAATAATAATAATAATAATAATAAATACATAAATACATAAATATTTTTTAATTTGCTCTATTAGCTGAGGCGTCGCATCCAACAATGCTGATCATCTTAATATGCGTTTTTCTCGTTATCTTACTCTGTGGTATTTCCATTGCAAGGCTAAAAAATAACCAAAAATACACAGACCAACATCAGCCATGCCCCAAGGTAATATAGTTTGATTTAAGCTGCGAAAAAATACGCCTTTCCATATTTATTTATAAGTTACGCCGTTCAACAGGACTTATTAGTAAATGTTTTAAGTGCTGAACCTGAATCCGAAACTGAAATTGTCCACAATACTTTTTTCTTGATTATTGCTTATCTGCACCTGAGAATAATACGATAGAAAAGAAAAAAGAACTAATATTTTTAAAATGTAGAGTATAGAGTATAGAGTGTAGAGTATAGAGTACAGAGTGTAGAGTATAGAGTGTAGAGTATAGTCTGAGTTTTCACTACTAATATTGTCTTTACTTTATATCTTAGGTGGCTGATGAAGGCTTAATATGGGATGATTCTGCATTGACCATTACCATTAATCCAATGCAAACCGATGGCGCATCGGAGGAAAGTTCGGATTCGGATAATACTGATTCTGAAGATGAAGACGGTACGTTTGTTGCAGATATAGAAAAATACAAATCCTCGTTTTCTATATAAATATTATCTTTTGGCCTTTAGTAATTAAAGATGGATTTGCCCATATCAACCAGCTTGAGTGGGACAACACCAACATGTTTTCATCGGGGAACTAAAATGGATATGTGTGTGTCGTTTATCAATAAAAGTTAAAATTAATTATATGTAAATGTGCTTTTAATATATGAATTACACAATTATAATACTAAAGTAATCCGCAAAACATCCATGAATATATACTTATAAATAGATACTTCAATTGAAAATATAAGTATGTATGTTATATGCATATAAGTAATGGCAAAAAGTATATATCCATAGGTTATCGTACCAAGGTTACGTTCGAATTATACATACATGCTTATATACTTCAACTGTAATTAACATATAGTACAATTATACCCCGGCATCGCTCCAGAACCAGCGTAATCGCAACGCATATACTTAATACATATAAGAATAAAAATTGTTCGCTTTATATGTATACCCTTGCAAATGATTGAAATCTGTACTTTTACACATACATACATACAAATATGCTGTCAGAGACACAGATACTCGTAGTAAATAGGTGGTACTTCCGTCCCCATAATATAAGTCTAATCTTCTATTTTTATTTACGATCATATTCACTACTCATCTGTCTGCAAATCCGATATTCGAAATAATCTCAATATTCTAATTCTTTTAATTTTACAATAAGAATTGAATATCTAATATTAGCTTTTTGATTACTTTTTTTACGATATATGAAGCTTAACGCAGTAATAAAATAGAATAACACTTTTATTATGGTCAGCAAATTACTTTTGTTTTTTATAATTTGCATACATAAATCCCTTTGGTCAATCCATTGAGAGGTTAACAATAAATTTTGGGAACCTGTCTAGAAAACCATAAATGATGTTTTTTCTGATTTGTCACTTTTATTATCCCAATTGGGTCATGCGTCAAAAAGAATTATTCTCTATATCAGCTTTGTCATAGCATTTTCCTTCGCATAAAATCAAACAGCCATTGTTTAATAGTAATATTCGTAAGGATATTGAAGAAAGGATATTTATAGAAACTTAGTATTAGATATGTTATGTTCAAACAGGATTCAAAAATTTCGAACGCCTTTTCTTTGTTAAGTGCAGATAAAATCAAGATTTTTTTTTAAGTATTTAAAGCAAACTTTCAAAATTTGGTATCGCATTGGCTAATTATTTTTTTATTTGATATCATTTGGAACATTGTCTTTTCTTTTGAGCAGAGTACTATTTCAAACTACAGCGAATTTAGGCTCGTCGTTGGGATGATAAAGAAATAAGTGTAATATCTCTTCTTCCATTTCGTTGTCTGTGGAATCTGCACATTTACATATTAACATGAATTGGCTAGTTCGTGGTTGACCTACTGTCACAGGGCTTCAGACACTAGCTATTATTATAAGATTGTCCAATTATATAAAATCATAAAGAGTGAATATTATATTTCAATACATAGATTTTAAAATAGCCATTGATAAAAATTTGAAAAGGAGGTATACAAGTTTTATCATCGTCACATCAAAACATCATCAACATTTCTTATCATAGCTACAGATTATACTACTAATTTCTATTAAGTTGGTCGCACATCATTGAAACGGATATTAAAATGTGTAATTCGCTTGCAAGGGTATTTTTGTATTCGGCTTGCTGAATAGAACAAGTTTCTTAAGTTAGCAAATAATATTGGTTTCGAAGTCAGGTCTGTCCATGAGCTTCTTAACCAAATATAATTTATTAAGTTACTGCAGCATTTGAATTAAATATCTGAATTCAAATCTGTAAAACCTTTGTTTATTGCTTTGGGGTACTCCAAAATAATTCATTACCTTAACGTAATAAGAGACATTTGTCTAGAATTGTAATTTTAATGCAAATATATAAGCACACACAACAGTGTTGTGCCAAGAAAATAAAATCAGAAAAATATATAATCTCAGTACTTTTCGTTACAGTTATTATTTTAATAAATGAGATTAAAACAAACAAAAATCTCGTTTTATTTTATTTACGAAAGAGTGAAAGATCTGTTAGGTTATTCCAAACTTGATCGGTTTTAAGTATAGTTATATACAAAAATTATATATTGAAAAATTTAATGAATTTCTTTTAATATTGAATGATGATTAAATTGGTTCAAATTTAAACAGATAACTAGATCTGATATTTAAGATATGCCTTGTCAAATTTAAGGCTTCGTTTTTAAAACTATAAATATGTAGCTTTTTCCGCTTGTGACGGACGGGCAGACGGATGGACGGACGTTGTTTTTTATAAAGAAGTCACTATGTAGGACAACTCACTAATACAATGCAAATCTGAGTTAATCCAGCTCTAAAGCTCTAATCCAATAATTTTCCATTGCAATCTGATATTCTTATCCGGCGTTCAACTTTCTACAACGTACTTTTATTTTATTAAAACACAAATTGTTAATGATAAAGAATACTTACGTAAATATAATATATGAATGTATAAGTGTATAACTAATATCAGGACAACATATTCAATAAAAACACATTATTTTCGGAAAATTTTATTATATAACCATTTAGTGATACATATATCTTTTGTATATATTTTTTATATAAAGTTATGTTTTTAATCGACATTAGTATTTGCATAATATCTGTGTAAAATTAATGTCGATTAAAGTTTATTTATGAAATGTATTTTAAGGATTTATATATATATATAAATATAAATATATATATATATATATATATATATATATATATATATATATATATATATATATATATATATATATATATATATATATATATATATATATATATATATATATTTATTTATATACATATATATACATTTATATTTTAATATAAATATATTTATATTTTTTTTCTTACGAACACAATGCGGATATTTCACTATTGGTAATATATATTTATATTCATGTTTTGTTTCTATTTAGATCTTACATGTTTAATAAGAAACATTTATAAAATATTCGTTGTAAATATTTTAGCCGCCATCTACAAATTTGATGTAAAAGCTTACATACTGTGTAAAAAAATATTTTCATGCAGTTGGGTATGCATGTAGTGCAATCAATTGTAAACATTTGTTTATTTATCTTTTTGTTTAATTCTCTTTAATATTCTTTTGTCATTTATACGAGATGCAATCAAATACTAATTTGTGTATAGATATATCTATATGTATCTGTATAAATAACTTATTTATTTATACTTCAGCAGAGAAGTGAATAAAATATAAATTTGGTATTCCTGAACTGACTTAATACTTCTTTATCTCATGAACCATGGTGGAAGATATTGAGAAAAAATATGAATATCTGATGAAAGTTTGTTAGTTACATCAATGCATCAAAGACCCTTCATGAACTGAATGTTCTCCGTAGGAGAGATACAAATTATCACGTGATTCAAATTAGATGATATTCTTCTATATCCGAATTGCACCGACAATTTTAAATGCATGTTATAAATTATTTTGTGGATGTCATGCAAAATAAACGGTTGCAAATTCTAAAGAATCATTCTCTTTTCTCAATATCTATTTCGCTTAAGAATTAACAATTATATTATTCTCGATTTTATTTTATTCAGAGTTAATTTATATATTTGTAACAAAAAATTGTGTAAAATATACGTTTTTAGTATCATTTCACGTTGTACTCATATATATATATATATATATATATATATATATATATATATATATATATATATATATATAAATATATATATATATTTATATATATAAATGGTATGCGATTAAATAAGTTTTTAATATTTAATATTTTGCGCTTTTATTCAACTGTATTTAGTCTCACTCATAATTACTGTTGTTCTACAATTTTGAGATAAAAACAGAATAAGATATTACATAATATAATCAAGCTAAACTAAACAACTATCAGTGAACAGAAGATAATCTGATTAGACTAGAAGTTTTAATTAAAAACATAAATGTTTCAGATTAACTTTTCAAAATTAATTGCAATAAAAACATTGCATTAAATTCTGTTCTTACTAAATCTACAAAACGTAAATTATTTTAAATTAAGTAAGTCGAAAACATTTATATATTCATAACGAACCTGATTTTCAACGCGAGATACTTTCGGATACTTTTTGCCAATTTTCAATATGATTGGCTAATACATATATAAGTCTTTTTTATTCACATTAATATATTATAAGCTATGATATATAATATAATATATGAATATATATATATATATATATATATATATATATATATATATATATATTAATCTATATGTATTAAGATAAGATTAATATATAGTTTCAATTAATATTTGTATATGCATTTGTATTTGTTGTGTATGCTTTGATGTATTGAATTAATAATATAATTTATATTATTCAGATTCAAGCTTATAAATGTTCGTGCATGTGTATGTGATTTGCATAATATATTATAGCCTAATTATCAGTCAACTTATAAGATATTAATAATTAAATGTATAGTTTGCTCTGGCGATGTGAATGCAGAGTTCACTTTTGTTGTCATTCACAAATATATATGTATATACTTCTCACATATTGGAATCGGGATTATATGTGCAATAAAACATAATTATGAAGCTATATTTGTATTTTTAGTTGAATGTCTTTCAAAGTCGTTATCCGACGTCATTCACTAGAGTATTATAAACTTCTAACTTTAAGACGTATTCTTTTAAATAGATTTTACATAAAACATACTACTTCACATATGAAATAGTATTCAAATATTTGATATATACATGCGCTAAAATGTGACAAAATAATTGTATATATTGTGTTTCTATTTGTATTTCTATTTGTATTCGTATTATTTTTTGTAATTTTATGTTTGTATATGTATATGCCCTATGTTTATGAACGCATATAGATTATTAACTTGAATACCGAAATCCGATTTTCTTGTTTCCAAAAGAAACAAGGAAGAAAGCTGTAGTCCTGGAGCCCGACTAGGAGATACCCTGATCCCAGTCCTATATGCGCATTTTTATTATTTTCCAATGTTTGTATGGAGGAAATTTAAAGCAGGTTTCCAAAATCTAACAAAAATCGAAATTGCATAAAATATACATAAAACTAAATACAAAATTTGGAGGCTTTAGCTGTTTTGGCGTACGAGATATAATTTATTAACCGAATTTCGATCATGTTTTTATTCGATTACAATAAAACAGGAATAGTTATTGAATATTTGAAGCACTACAACAAAAGTAGTCTCTAGATCTTATAGGTGCTGAGATCAGCGCGCTCACACATACGGACAGAAAGACGGACAGGGCTCAATCGACTCGGCTTATCCTCCTGATCAAGAATATATATACTTTATGGGCTCTGCACGCATCCTTCTGCCTGTTTCATACATACATTTGCACAAAACTTTTATACCATGATTTCCCATTTTCAAATGGGATCAGGTATAAAAAATGAAGATCTTGAAAGAAAAATTTGTTTATATAGTCTCTTAGTTCTTAGAAATAAATATTGTTTTTTAATCGATTAAGGTCAATTACTTATAATGCAGGTATAATTCATAAAAATTGTTCCAAATCATTAGAGAGATGGTTGTTGTTACATCGTAGAGCGAATTATTATTTTCGTACTCCATTTCGAGTATATATAAACTTCCTAAGTATCAAATCGATCTAGCCACCCGTATAATCGGACCTATTTAATCATATCTATGAGCAAATCTTCAATTTACCGTTGCCAAGCTCTCAAATTACGAATTTGTTTTTTGTTATCTTAAACAAAATTGTTTTCTTAGACAAAATTTTACATAGTTTAAAACGTCAGATTTGATTGAAAGTTTGGTTATTGTATGGATCATATGTTATGCTTATGTGTCTTGTATCTTCGGTATTAGCACGACCAAACCAAATTAATCTTTTATTTTGGTTTTTTTAATATGTCAATGTGTCAATTAGTCAATTAGTCAATAAGTCATGTACTATGAAATAACTTAAGTCGAAATTTTCCAGATTGCAAATTGTCGAAGAACAAAATCGACACATACGAACGACATGTAGTTTATGCTAAAATACGCATGGCATGGTAAACAATTGAGTGGCATACGGGACAGATGGACTCCATTGAGACACAAATCTGATTGGCACAGTCCATACAAAACATATTGTGTCCGCAGGGAACTAGAGCGGTCGTCACTTCTCTTTCATTGCACACAAAGCATTCACGATGCATTTTGTCGGAATGCAATTTGTCCGAGCTACTCTTCAATATGTTTCGCTGATGATGATGTTCTAGAGGCGAAGAACCGATTTTGCTGCATGGCTCCTTGAAGATGTTGTTGCCACCAGTTTTCTGGCTTATGTTTAGGCTGTGCTCTCCAAGCAGCGAATCCGTTGGACTGATTGAGGCCGTTGGCGAGCAGTGGGATGCCACTGCGGCTGTTGTGGCTGATGGAAGATTCCAAATACTGGGAGAGTCTCCAATGCCCTCATCAACGTCAATTGAATCATTTAAATTTTTCCAAATATTCAATAGCTCTGGGGGAGTATTAACGCTGTTAGTACTATTGGCGCTGTTGTTCGTGCTTTTGGTTGATGCTGTCGAGGAGGCGGATGAACATGAGCGCGTTAATATGTTGGCTGAGATTGATTGGCACGGGCCAGATGAAACATTTACAGAAGCGGACGTAGGCGGACAGAATGACAAAGATTTGCTATTACTACTTGTATTGATATTGGTATTGGTATTGGTATTGCTATTGCTATTGGCATTGACGTTTGCATTCGCATTTGCATTGGCATTGACATTCGCATTGACATTGACATTGGCATTGGCATTGATATTGGCATTGGCATTTGTATTTGTCTTTGTATTTGTGCTGCGGAATAATGAATTGGGTTTTGAGGCCTGCGGCACGTTAAGTTCGTTTATAGTGCCTGTTAGCGCCAGCGCGAAGTTTCTGTCCGTTGTTGTTGCTGTTGCTGTTGTTATTGTTGTATTAGATACCTTAGACGTGAGATCTACTAGATCAGAATTTGGAAAACACTTTGTTAAATTATGCAAGGGCATGATAGAATTGGCAGTGTTCGAATTTGAAAGATTATCTATGACACTAAGCGAGTTATCTGCGTAATTAATATTGGGTGAAATGTCGCTCTTGTAGATCGATGACAAGATATCTGAGTTGAGATCGTCATTCAGTATCTGACTGAGCGTATTAATCGTGTGCAAAGTAGCATACTCGCTCGACTCTAATGTTTCCGTACCACTCTCACTGCCGTGAGTGCTATTGCCCGTACGTAGGGCTATATGAGCCTCGATTTGCTTGCGTGCGGTTTCCACATTCTCGCGCAGTCCGGTTACCTCGAATATGGGTTCCTTTTCTCGAGACGGTGTGACAATGTATGTTTGTGTTTCTTGTTGTATGTGCTTAATGGTGGCACCTTTCGGCCCAACAACTAGGCCCACGACTCTGTAGGGTACACGCACCTGGATTGTGATCTGGCCGGGCAGACAGGGCGGCCCGGACTGCGCGCGGGCAACAATGCCCACGGTCATTGAACCCGAATTACCACTTCCACTTATTCCGCTATTCGATCCCTCTATTGACGGTTTTCGTGAGGCCCGAATCAAGCTAAAGTGATCGGCAGCTGAGAGAATTTCCCGTTTGGCCTTGTTCACATCCTCTTTGCGGCCTGTCACCACGAAAACGGGCTCTTCTCCGCGCACTGGAGTCTTGATGTAGGTATTTGTCTTTGCCCTCAAAGCTTTTATCTTGCATCCTAAATAACAATATAAAGAGAGTTATTTTTACATCTTTACAATATTACAGTACGTATTTGGGTCTGTTTATATTTTCCAGTCTAGGCTAAAGATACGTATATCTATATATGTAGAAAAGCCATTAAAAATTTATTACTCTGGCGTACAGAATTCAATCAAATTTAGTAACTAAGAATCATATTATAGTCTGAATCTTGAATAGCTCCATTCCAATGTATAAAATACTTTAAGCAAAAAGTACAAGAGGAAGTTTTTTGTTTATATTGCAGTTGAGATTTTTAGTCATTCAATTTCGGAGTTTTAATAAAATTAAGATAACGATGCTCTTTGCTCAACTAACAACTAAATGACTTCGAAGGGTTCATACTAATGCCGTAAAGACTCAATGGTGCGTCATTTACTCTGTTAAAAGTGTCAATCTTAATCACCAATCAATCAGTCAATTAGTCAATCAGTCAATCACAGGGTAAATATATTTTTATTTACACTATAGGCTTATACGCAGGTGTCTGTGTGAACATATAGATTGCTTACCTTGTCGTCCCACGATTTCAGCAACATGCTCGGAGCTGGGAACTGGAACACATTCAGTCATATTTTGGGACTTCTTCGATCTGTCCTCCAGGCCGACGGAAGCCATTAGAAGCCCAGATGCAGTAGTCGGTGGTAGCGGTAGATTGTTCATCGGTCCTAGATCAGCCCTGCTAAATGCAGCGGACACCACATTGATGGCGCCGATGTCGTAGTCACCTTGCGAGAGTATTGGCTGAGCGTAGCTGTTATTCTGGTTGCTCTCATTGAGCCCGACCAAGGAGAGCTCCAATGCCAGTTGCAATGTGCGCGGGTCTTCAGACAATGGAATAGCATGCACCTTCTGCAGCTCAATCATTTGATTGTGTGCGTGGCTCTGATTGAGTTTGTGAATTGATTCTGTCATGTTAATATCATTAAGTATTTTTGGTGTAATTTGTGCGGCAGCGGCAGCTGAAGCATTAGCAGACATTATTAGCGAGCATTGGTTAGTAATGAGTGATGTATTTATGGGTTCTATTTTTTATTTGAATAGGACCTAGGTATGTACGAGTGTCGCCGCCGCCGAAATCGACGAGGGCAATGAACTGTTATAGTCCACAATCACAATCACAATTTGCGCCCACACGACGATCTTGCCGATGAATTATTATTGTTTTTGTTAGATGTTGGCTATACCTATAGCTATAGCAATCGTTGATGAACTCACTCCGGTATGTCAATTTGTCTCCGCTTTTCAATTATGGTTTTGTCTTTCCGAAACGCTGAAAATCAGCGCCAGCACTTCTGCATTCATGATGTAAGAATAGGATATTCATTGTATATATGTTTATACTCTATATGTGCATTAAATTTCAATATTAGCCGCGAATGATTAATGGAATTTGTCAATGATTGGCCGTTGCTTCCGCAGCAGTTGAATTCCCTTTTCTGCAATAGACAGAATACTGAATTGCATTTGGTATACATACACGCATACTCTGTCCCTGTGTCTGCATGTGTGTGTATGTGTAGATGTGTATAGAAATGCCGTGTATATACTTACAAAATATATGAATATGCATTCTCAAAATTATTTGCATGTATTTTTGCACGTGAAAGGAATTTAATAACACTAAAACAAAGGGAAAATCGCTCGAAATGGATTGTACTATTCGACATTAGGAGCTTAGCAGTTTTACCGTTTTGGCCGCGATTCTTCCGCATATACGCACTTACACATATACATTCATATAAATATATAGACACACACATATGTAGATATATGTATATGTGTAGATACATTCGTATTGGACAAACGTTCGTTTGGCGTTCTCTTTTTCTCAGAACAACCCCTAACTCACTTTAAGCCATGTGTGTCACTCACCCTGTAACTTCTCTTAGCTCTACTAACGTACGCATCCTTACTAAAATGTGTATATGTATGTCATCTATGCAAATGTAACACCCAAGTAATCTTTCCCTGTAACTTTAGCTCGCCAAATATTACTTAAATGACAAACAGATTTGGAAATGCCATTTATGTGCGTATGCCACACACATACACACACACACACATATTTCTATACAGTCACGAACACGCACATGCATCGCATCGGCATATCTACACACATCCCAGCAGTAGGATCGCAGCCACGCCTAGTATTCTTAATGCACGGGATATCAAATGCACAAACAATTAGACATCCCCGTTAATATATAATTGTTTTTAACATGTAACAAACCATACTATGCTCTTCAAGGGCCGGTCATCGTTTTGTTTAACAAACTTAAAACAATTCTATCTTTTACTTTTTGGCCGGCAACAGAGTAATGTTTTGCCGGCTTTACAAATTAACACATAATTTTAACATGTAAAGAATCTCAAAGATACAGAAACTGTTAACAGCCTGCCAACTGTACAGAGCACACAACAGACTGTTCTCTCCTATGTTAATGTACACAGCTACATGTCGAGGCGCAGGCTTGCTCAATCGAGACAGAGTGCAGCACACACATTGTCAATTAGATACATTTAGAAGAGCAGAATATGCAAAATGTTACTAGCGACCGAATGTCCACTCAATTTACAGACGACTTAACTGACTTACTTTACACTTGGGTTCAACTTTGATTACCCGCGAAATACTCAATTGCTTGAATTTATGACGGACACAGCAAGAAACTGACTTTGCAGCAAAAAAAACAGCTCAATTATTTAAGAAGTTACGTGCGACTGAAAATACTCTAAACGTATCACATCTAATTACTTTAAGGTAGATTATATAATTTATTTTATTTATATACATTTAGATAACACTATTAAGGTGTATTAATGTTAAAAGGAATCGGTTGAATACAACAATACAATTATCAAGAAGCGCTTATCAATAATTATCTCAAAACTGGGAAATGCAATATTTTATATACTTTTTACAACTAATTTTTGGACAAATTAATAGCTATATACTTAACTAATTAGGTGTATAGGAGAATAGTGTGTTTGTATTGTATTATGTGATTATATATATATATATATATATATATATATATCTTTTTACATATATATATACATTTTTTTGATTTAACGACTTTTTAAAAATCAACTCTTTCGCTACTTGCATTTTTGGCTTTGTTTTGATAAGCTACTTAGGTTCCAGAATAATATATTTTATACATAATATAATATGTGATTATATATATATATAAATATATATATATAAATTTTTTTTGCTTTGACGACTTTTTAAAAATCATTAACTTTTTCACTACTTGCATTTTTGGCTTTGTTGTGATAAGCTACTTTTGCTCAAGAATAATACATTTTACATCGTAACTAATATGTCCGATAATATATATATATGCGACGCTTTTGAAACCTGGAATCTTCGATACGCATATATTATCTTTTTCTACAGGTTGAAAATTCTGTAAAGTTAAGCATATTTTGGTTTATTGTTGCTGTTGTTGCGGCTGGTGTTGTTGTTGTTGTTGATGAAGAAATTGCTGATGATGCCTACGTTCGCGGGCACGTTCTATATGTCGTTTCCTTTCCTCCTTAGTCCAATAACGTCCAATCTTAACCTCAGATATTGTATCATCCTCGGTTGTTATTTCATTGTTCCGTATATTCTTTCGAATACCCATGCTTACATTATTTCTTACTGGCCGCTTAACTATATATCGTGTTCCATCAGGGCGTCGTTTTACTTTCCACACCATGGGAATTTCGTCCGACACATTTTCCGTTGCTACTAAAATGGAACTTGCCTTTGGAGCAAGACTTTTATTTGCGACCTAGTTAGAAAAAACAATGTATAAGTAAATTATTGTAAAGCAAGACTTTGAAGACCTTAACTTTGATAAGTTGTGTTTTACACTTTTCGCATTTTTTTCATTTAAAATATTGATAAATATGGATTGCTTCCTATATACATATATCTACATTATGTACACATATATTTATATATTATATATTATTTATATATTCCTACAAAGAAATATATATCTGTCTATTTAGATATCTATGGATATTTTTTTAATTATACCTTTAAGCTTACATATAAAATAAATATTGCGTAATTGCTATTTTTATATATCTATGTTTGTGCACTGCTCACTAAATATATAAATATTTCTGTAATCTATACATCGTTCTTATATATATGAGATTATTTGTATTTTGATGTCTACCGTGTTTACCTCTTGACTGCTAACAAAGTGGTAGCGACTCAAGTTGGGAGCGTTAAATTGCGGGCATTGGCTTTGCAGTTCTTCGCTTGGTTTGGGTCGCATTATTTTAGCGTCTACTTTAGATGTTGCTGATGCGAAAAGATTTAGCTCGTCGGCTGAAGCCTTATTTACTGTAGGAGTTTCTAAACAATCAAGTAAAAGTAAAATGGAATTGTTCAAATATGTGAAAGTGTGTGCTCAATTTTATCCACTACCAACCGGAATTATATTGGGAGCAGACTATGCGACCAGACTTTCCAAATGGCAGCATTAACATCGGAGCCGTCGAAACAGACTGAAAGGAGCTATTTGGATTGTTAGGACCTGCATTAGCAGTTACCGTTGCATTTAACATTGATTCGTTCTCTGTATTTGTGATATTTTGGTGAGGTGAAGCACTGTTATTGGAGCCACCTGTATTATAGGCACTTGAAGAGTTTTCCACTTCCTCCTGCTGTTGATTAATGCATTTATTCTCGTTGTCAACGTTAGTTGAACTGTAGTTAGCTCCACTACTGCTTGATCCACTGGTGTTCGTTATAGCACTACGTAGCGTATACACTCGATTCGATATTCGATGCTGCTGTTTCTGGTATAAGTTTGGACGGCCAGCAAGGGTATGCACGGATCTCGGATTGATCTGTGATTTGATGCCCAACCATTGGGCCACACGCTGCGTTTGCTGTTGCATTTCTAAAACATCCGTCTCGGCCATCATTGGTGATGAGCAAGACCCCATTGCGGTCATATAGTTAGAGCTTTGATATGGTGAGCAATAGAGGGGCTCTGATTCTGAATCCTCAGGTATTGTTTCATAAATATGCTCGCAATCATCATAATCATATTGTTTACTAGCTATTGTTGTTCTTGGAAGGCTTTTTTCTGTTATTTGTTTTAAACCCGTTTCTTGGGTCGGTAGTCGCACCTTCTCAATACAAATCTTCTCTATGGCAGTAATATATGTTTGTCCTTTGTTTTTCGCCTTTTCTGACATAGTTTGAGAGCCACTAAAAGTTGGTTGTATGATAGATTTAATAGGTTTCGGCGCTTGTTCTGTCAGTTGCTGCGTTACAAGATTTTTGTCCAATTTATCAACGACATTTGTGTAATCATCAGATAGAATGCTATTGGCATATTCAAAGTGACTATCGATCTCTTCATCGTCCTCATCGTCGTCGTCGTCGTCATCTTCCTTTATAAATGAAAGCCGAATCTCAGATGTTGTTTAATTGTCTTTATGGGTACTTACGGGATATAGAAGTCGACTGACGAGCAATGTTACAGCCGTAGAATTTTCCGCTATTTGGGTTTCGGCATGTTTTTTACTCTTGATGTCTATGCCATTGATACGGAGAATTTGATCGCCACGACGAAGTCGACCGTCACGCTCGGCAACGCTCTCCGGCTGTATATCGCTTATGAAAACATCATCACAGGCATCGCCATCCCCATCGCCATCACCATCGGTATCAGTATCCGCACCCGCATCATCTGTTATTGAGTCTGCATTCGTATTCTCGTTGCATATCACAGGCTTTATAATACTTTCCTCGCAATCTCTGTTATTGTAGAAGTTATTGCAGCAAACAGTAAGCCCAATTTGATCGTTAGTTGAATCTCTTTTCACTAGTGTTACTTCCTGCAAATTAAATTTGATGTGAAAAATGCTTCTATATAAAAGAAGCCTTACCTCGATGTCGATCTCCGGCTCCAAACACTGCTCAAACAGATGATGTTCTTGTTCGATAAAGTGATCGGCTATTGTTTGCGCTATATCATCATTGTGATCAACTTTTTTGTTAGTTTTATTGAATGCAACAGACTTGTCCAGCATTTTCTTCTCCTTTAATACTGGCTCGGTTTGATCACTGTTTTGAAATGTTCGTAATGTTAAAATGATTTGATTTTTTGCTGACACTAATGACAGAGGGGACGTCGGCAAAGAATTGAAGTTAACATTTTCTGAGGCACTGGCTGCTCTTGCATTGGATACTTGAACACTTTTCAATTTTGCACAAATTTCATCCTCCTGCATGTCGTCGGAGGTGATGGGATTTTGCTTTCGGCATAATTCAACTACTAGGGTTTCTTTAGCTTGAAGGAACATTTGAACCGCATCATAGCTAGACAATGATGTAATGTCGCTGCCATTTAGCTGTAATGAATTATTTATTTATATTAAAATTCGGTTATTTCGAAAATGAAAACAAATATTGCAGTGTACAAGCCTGCACACAATTACACATATGTATGAATGCATATGATTGAGTTAGTGTTTATATGAACCTTTATTAGCGTTGTGTGCTGTTCATGGCTGTTATGTGCAAGTTTTACCTACCTTTAGCACAACATAATCTAGCTCAACAACATTAACACAGTTATTAGAGCACATTTTGATAACAAATTACATAGCTTTATTAATTTTTATTCCGTGCAATAAACCCACACCCACACAACAACAGAAATACAGACATCGTTTATCATTACTAAATTCGCCGCGACAGTGTGACCAAAGTGTCTCTTCTTCTAAAATCTTTGTATTATCGATTATTTTAAATTTTATTTGCCACTTTAATATTATTTCTTAAGTAAACGGATAAATTAATTACCAAAAGCATTATAAATACTTGACCAATATATTAGACAAGGTTACATTTGCTTTTAACTTATATATTTTTCTGCTTGCGGTGAATGGCAAAATCAAAGAGATTATTTATATTGACACTAAAAAATAACAGTGATTTCTGTCGCTGTGGTAACAATAATTTTTTAAATTTGTGTTGACTAATTTGTTGGAGTAAAACCAGATCCATGAAAATCAGTTCACCATTTTCGCCAACGTAATGAATAAAACCAGCCATGGTCGAGATTTTGCGTGTACTAAATAATAATAAAATAAAATACGGCCATATTCAAAATGAGTATTTTATTCTTTTGTTCATGGTGAGATACAAATGAACACATACAGATTATTTACATTGGCACATTGGCAAGAAATGACAGCAATCGCTGTTATTGTGGTAGTTATTTACATTTAATTTTTTGATTTTATTTTACAATATGAGGAATATATATAATTAAAACCAAAATCATGTGATTATATATATACATATATATTATATATATTATTTCATTATATCAACCTGAACTGAATGTTGTTTTTAGCATTACATTTTGTACGCATGCAAGTATGTACGTTGTGCATGCGTTCACGCAATTCTCAAACAAACATTACTTCAGGTACTTTAACGTATGTATATATATATGCATATGTATGCATATGAAAGCTAAAATATGTATTTGTAATATGTGTATGTATTCACTTATTCTATTTTATTTATATCCGAACGCATTACATAATATTGATCGCTCATATAATGTTTGCATGTGTATGTATGTGTATCTGTGAATTAAATTAAATTTGTCTTCTAGGAACAGCTGCATCCCTCAACGGACATATTTGGTATTACACTCAGCACAAGTTGGTGATTTTCATCAAAATACAGCAAACTTAAGGAACTCATTTTCGTTGGCGAACAACAAGGCGTCGCTGACGTCGTCAACGCTGCCAAATGCGTATGTGGATACTGTTCCAAGTACCCAACCCTGCAGTCCCCGCTGCAAAAGTAGGCGTCGAATGAGGTAGGTGCCACAACAAAGTGCCATCCGAAGCTGGTGAAGTTGACCTTTAAAGGATATCGACAGCAGCGCATATCGTGATCGTTCTCAGTGCAATCGAGATAAACGCTACGTTTCCTTCGATGCTTCTTACGGGAGCCAATCTCAATGTGCACTGTCTGTAAATAAAGTAATTTTAAAGATATATATATATATATATATATATATATATATATATATATATATATATATATATATATATATATATATATATATTTCTATGTTCTATGAAGCCAATTGGCACAATATTTGGACGAGGCAATTTCTAGGTATGATTTATAAATATTTATCTATTACAATACAATTCTCATCTAACTTTTAATAGCTGAACATTGGGCAAAAATGATTGGAATTAATGAAATTACAAAGCCTCTATATTTCTTTCAACTATGAAGTTTAGTTTAAAGTTCTATTATACTTTGATTACAATAAGATAATATAAATAATTATTTCTTTAGGTACGTTTTTTCTTTATACTTTCGCCTCAATTCATTGAAAATTATGACGGAATGGAGAATCGGCTGACTCAATTTCTGAATCTACAGAGAAAAGGATTTCGGAAGCATATATCTGTTTATTAAAGGTTATAGAGGTTTTTATATATACCAATGGATTTTTTGCTGTACTGTCTGTAGTGACAACTAGGGGTCGCATCCATGGCTCTACACCTTTTATAAAAATCTCTTGGGTTTGACTGGGATTTATGGCAGTTCCTGTGCCTAATAGTGGTTTCAGATCCACATTGACCCATTGACCTAGACCACTTGGAATCTTGTGCCGGAACTCAAAGATTTTCGCCTTGTGCGTATAATTTGTGTTATTTGCTCGCCGTATGGCACGATGAAGGGCTACGACAATCTCCGTGTTTTGACAATCGGCCAATTCCTCAAGGATCTTCGGCTGATAGACACTGATCCATTCCAGTCCTCGCAAATACAAGTGAAGCGTCACAAACGAAATATCCGAGAATCCCGAGTCAAACTTGAAACGTAGCACATCTGTTTTCCGGTTATGTCGCACATGAGGCTCTTAAAGGAATATAAATAAAATCATAATAAATTGTATATTCTCCAATCAAACAATCGTTCAATGAAATCAAACTAATATCATTGGCTTTTAAAAAATCTATACATATAGAGTTTGAATATATATTTTCATGTTGTCAGCATTGAATGAACAAATCTACTAGGATATACTATAAGTAGTATTTACATTCAACTTACGTTCTGGAAATATATAAACGCTGCTGATATGAGAAAGTATACTTTCGTATTCCATATCATCGTCGTCAGCTTTAAAATCTGTGGCTTTATACTTAGGAGCAGTTCGGTGGTCATCGACTTCAACATTATAGGTATATTGAAAGTCTTTGAAGTTATTAGGATCATCACCCTGCATTTCTAAAGACGCATTTCTGTTGGACACTTCTCTATGTTTTGAACTATGATCAAAACTCTGTTCTATGTTTTGTGTGACGTTCAAAGATTCTGTGACAATCTCCTCGGGCATATAGAGAGCAGATCGTGGAACATTTGTGGGCGCAGCACTAGTAGGCCTACTGTTATGGCCCCATATCGAGTTTAAAAGCGAGGCATTATAGTTTTTATAGAAGTTCTCCAATATGCTCTGTGGCACAGATATTGGTTTAGTAATATTGGGCAATTTCTTCAAATTCAGTCGCATCAAAATGTGCATTTTGATCGATTCCAAGCTATCCTGTTTCGCCTTCTCCCTCAGCTGGCGTTGCAGCACAGAGTCTCCAGTAATCAAGCTATTTCTGTTCATGCTAAATCCTTGTGCACTTGCTGGCAGCTGACCTAAGGCTTGTGCCGATAGTCTCGGTTTCTGGCTTTGGCTCTGGCTTTGGTTCTGGATAGTAGGAGTGTGAGTAGGAGTTACAGGCGTCTGATTTCGGTGGATTTCGGTGTTGTTTGATCTGAGTAATCGGTCTACATCTCTCGTTGCTTCTTGGGCAGATGCGAAAATAACGAACGATAATAAAATCGATAGTAAAATTGTAGTCGCATATCGGGCGACTACCAATCGAAATTGCCAGCTCCTGTTGTTTCTCATAATCATCATCTGCAGTCGTTTCATTGGGCTGTTGCACTGGCAAGATTTCTTTAAAGATATATTAGCGTGGAAGTGGCAATTGGAGCAATCGAAATCGTGACTGCTTACTAAACGATCGCTTGCCTTGTCCACATATGGTTGTGTTCTTCGTGTGTCGGTGAGCTTTATAGGTACCTTAAGCGACATCATGACTAAGTTTTGCTTTCCAAGTTTCAAATGAGAACTTTTTCCTTAAATGAGAGAAGAGTGTGTTGCTTGTGATTCGATTATATTTTAGATAATACAATTTAGATAAAAAAAATTTTTAATAAAATTTAAATAATAAAGTTTTATCCTTAATAAAAAATAAAGTTGTATTACTTTTATGCAGTGTTTCTCTGACAATCTTTTTACGAAATTTGAAATGAGAAACAGACTCCGGTATACCAGCCCAGATACAAATATGTAGTATATAGAGCTGCGCTAAATGGGGTTGAGACAGATGGACAAGAATTTTATCTTCAGAAAGATATATGCAGTCCAAGGTAAGGATATATTTAATGGACACATATCATTTAGAAAGATATATACAGTCCAATGTAAGGATATATTTAATGGACACATATCATTCTGTATTAATCTATAGCGAATGTTTTCAGCAGTGTGTTCACACTTTATAATATATTTATATATATTAATTAGTGTTTACATTCATATATACTAACCAGATGTCTTATCCAAATTCAACAATCAGCACCCACAATCACTTAACAGTTTCAATCTCAGCATATTCTGTTATATTTATTGTTCCTTTCCGCTGCAAAATACGTACATACATATGTATGGATGTACATGTGTATGTACATATATGTGCACGTATATGTTTGTGAATGTATGTAAATGTAACTGGGGCGACTTTGCGGTTCACAACACAGTTTTTAAGTCGAATGCATTGTTGCCAGCCACTATTCACAAAATTAATGATCAACTGTTATAAACCGGCGAATACGTGTGACTTCTTTTATTTATTCCCGAATTTAATACATTGTATGATAATAAATCTGCATTCCCCACACGCTTCTGTGTGTGTTTGTTTGTGTGTGTGTATGTGTGTGTGTGTGTGTGTGTGTGTGTGTGTGTGTGTGTGTGTGTGTGTGTGTGTGTGTGTGTGTGTGTGTTTTATTCACACTTTCTTTTTGTGTTGTAGTTTTAGAGCTTGTTTATTTTTTTGATATTTACCGATGTGTTGGTGTATATATGTATGTATGCATGTATGCGTGTAAATTAATATATGAATGTGTAAATATATACGTGTGTCTACATACAGACTAACATATATACATATGTTTGCATTGATTCGCCTGAGTGTGCGCTGTGTTCTATGTGCTGTGTATATGGACACGGTGCGCATACACGATTTATATTCATGTGAATCTCACTCAGAAGCTCTTGATGGATCACTCTCACTCCATTGTATTCAATTAAAACCATTTATAAACATCATAATAAATTTTTGTGTTCTTGAACTTCAGTTCATTGCTGAAAGTGCAGTTATTCCTTTTGATGCATTCAGCTGTATGTATGTATGTATATAAGTAAATACAAACGTACGTACATACATAATTTGCACATACATACATACAAATGTGAGCAGTTTCACACAGTAAAAACATATGCATTTATTTTATTATTTATATGTGCGTACATACATACATGCATATGTGTATACAAACATTTATAAATTTAAACATACATATAAATTAATTACGTATCTCAAAGCACACACAGTATATGTATGTATAAGAATCGCGATAACAAACATTTGTATATGTATATATAACGTTTAATATATTTATATAAATAAATTTTATATATGTATGTATAGATGTGTATGCATGTGTGTAAACACACTCATATGTTTGTGGGTATGTACTCGATTTCTATTTTGAACATTTCGCGATTCTCTATTAACGTACTTTATACAAACATATACGTACTTTTGCATGTTTATGTATACATACTTATATACATGTATGCAGGAACATCCATGAATATATGTACATATGTATCTGAATATGTCTCATCATATGTATAGATTCTTGGCTGTGTGTGTATTCACTCACATGTACGCAAATATTTTTATTTCTTCACACATGGTACATCCATGCATAGGTATACACTAGTTTGTTTGTAAGTATGTAATAAAAGTATTCGCACATGTGTCAATTATTTCGTTTGCGACTCGAACTGCTTTAAAAAAAATAAATAAATTTATTAATAAAACCGGGATCGTCAGAAACGGCTGCAGCAACGGCAACGTCAACGACGATGGCAACCGCAACGGCGACGGCAGTGAATACAGCGATATACAACAGAGCCTGACCGTGCCATATAACTAACTGACAGATCCGCATCGACAATCACATCCACAGACATAAACAAGAAGCTGTTGCGCTGAGGATGAGTGTGCGCTACGTTCGGTCAGGGCACCAGGTCCCATTTCAGTGTGTGGGTGGGCAACGTAAACGTTCTGCACATTATTCATAATCAAGTAGACGTGCTTATTACAATTTGAATTTGGCACGCAGTGTCGATTAAGAAGTTTCAGCATGTTTAACTCATTATCTTACTTCTTAGTCATCGGATAAACTAAATCCATATGTCGAATGATTTCACAAAACAACTTTACATTGCGCTCTCATGAAGGACCCCGATTGCGGCCCTGCTTTTTTATACCCTGTACACATAGCTTTGTCTAAAATGGCTATGCATCGGATTATCAAATACGTATCCTTAATTTCATCTATGCTTTAATTATGTATTGTGTGCCTTTAATATATTTTTGAACGCCTTAAATAAATCAAATTGATATACAATTTCATATACCCACATAACTGAACTT